AGTGTATTGTGTACTACGATATTAAAATCTCTACCCAGAGACATTTTAATTCAAATGGATAAAACCACAAACGAAAGTGCTTATAATGATATAAACACATTGCTCACTTTTCTTTCTGATATTTTGCATATAAGAGAAAGAGCGGAAATAATAAAAAATAACACCAATGAATTAGTAGTCAATCAGCCGCTCCCTTCTCGGAAATTTGAGACGAATCGCAGACACATTGACTCTATCGGGTCTTCGAAAACAAAATACCAGCAAAAGAGTTATGATAAAAAAGAAAAGAACATATTTTCGACTTCTGAATTAATATCCACAAACGTAAAAGATAAAACTTTTTGTTGTTTTTTCTGTGAGAATGAAAAAGGGGATATTTTACATGATTCAAAAGATTGTTCTTTCGCGATGACTTTAAGTAATGAAGAAAAGGTTTCGTTATTAAGGAAAAAGGGAATTTGTTTTCGATGTTTACAAAATCGTCACGTAGCTTCGAAATGTGTTTCAAAAGTTACATGCAGTTATTGTGGGTTCAGACATGTATCGATTAGGTGTTATAAAAATAAAAATGCTGATGATAAAACCGAAACTCAAGATAGCGAAAAAGTACTTTCAAATCAAATTAAATACTCCCCAGTATTTTTACAGACACTTATTGTGGGGGTAAAAGGAGGTGATTTAGAGGGCTATTGCCGTTTACTGATCGATACTAGTAGTCAAAACAGTTAATCTCCCAGTATGCCGCAAAAAGGTTAAAATTAAAGAAGATAAATTCCGAAGTTGTTAAGCATGGACTGTTTGGAGGTGTAGAGAAATCAGAACTACACAATCGTTATCTATTGAACATTAGTAGTTTCGAGGGATATTTTAGTTTCGATATTGAGGTCCTAGATGAAAAGAAAATCTGCTCTTCTGTCCCAAGGGTTCAAGATGAAAATTTAATGGGTCTTTTAAGAAATAAAGGGATAATTTTAAGTGACATTCAGGAAAATGAAAATCGATGTTTGTTCCAAGATAGCCGGGATGAAATTCATATACTTTTGGGGGCAGATAATGTTGCACAGCTGTTCACTGAAAGAATAGAGCATTTCCCAGATGTTGGCATAGCAGCATTTGAGACTAAGATAGGCTGGACGTTAATGGGGAAAAGAAGTGACACTGATATTTTGGATAGCACATTTTCAGGCCTCTCCTTATCTTTACATGTTTCTGACGCGAAATTGTCGGAATTATGGCGTTTAGACACAATAGGCATTTCTAGTGAGGAAAACAAAACTAAAAGTATGTTAGAAGAAGAGACTCAAAAACATTTCTTAGAAACTGTAAAACGAGACAATACCGGAAGGTATGAAGTTTCTTTGCCCTGGATTACTGACAGTTCTGTTAAAAAATAAAGTGGGATCAACAACTTCCTTCAAATTTGAGTAAACAATTCAGCACTTGGATTAAGAAATTGGATTTACTACCGAAAATAGAAATCCCTCGTTGGCTCAATATAGACTACCAAAATGAATACACTACAACACTACATGTTTTTTCTGATGCGAGTAAACAAGCTTTCGCCACTTGTGCATTTTTGAGAACTGAAAATAAAGAAGGTGTTCAAGTACAGCTAGTAAATGCTAGAAGTCGAGTTGCACCGATTAAAGAAATGACAATACCACGATTAGAACTCCTATCATGTCTGATTGGAGCCAGACTTGCTAAAAGCATCTTAACAGACTTAAGACTTGAGTATTGTAAAACAATATTCTGGAGTGACTCATCCACAGCTCTAGGATGGATAAGAAGAGATCAAGCGTGGGGAACATTTGTTCACAATAGAGTCCAGGAAATAAGAACTTTAACGAAAATTTCTGATTGGAGGCACGTACCAGGAAAGTACAACCCAGCAGACCTGCCTTCCCGTGGATGTTCTTTTGAGCAGTTATTGGAATCAAGATGGTGGGAGGGTCCCACATGGCTTTATCTACCAGAAAAAGAATGGCCTCATGCAGAAGAACAACCCGATGAAGATGTTCTAAATAAAGAAAAGAGGAAATCTATACTTACTCTGATTGATAACGAAGATGAGGGTCACGATTGGTACTATAAATATTTCTCGTCTTATAAGAAGATTGTTAGAATGATTGCCTGGATTTTCCGATTTTATAAAAACTCAAGAAAAATAGAAAGAAATTCCTCAGAAAACCTATCTGTGTCCGAAATTGAAAGAGCTGAAAAAGCAATTTATCGTTTGATACAAAAGGACGCTTTTTCCAATAAAACTGATTTAAATTTTCGTACTCTCAGAACCATTGAAACAGAAGAAGGAATTTTTAGAGTGAAGACAAATATAATTCAAAGGAAAGATAAAGAATGTTTTCTATATCCTGTGCTTTTACCCTCCAATCATCCAGTGGTACACCGTTTAATAATTGAAAAACACATCGAACATCAACATGCAGGAGTAACAACACTTATGTCACTTCTAAGAGAAAACTTTTGGATTTTAAAGTCAAGGAAGACCATACGTAACATCATAAGAAAGTGCATTATATGTCAAAGATTCGATAAGCGAAAACTAGAAGTATTACCAGGGATTCCACCAGAAGATAGAGTCCGAGACGCAGCGGTATTTGAAGTCATCGGTATTGACTTGGCAGGACCACTGTTTCTTCGTGATGGCTCCAAATCGTGGATTGTGTTATTAACCTGTGCGATATACCGTGCATTACACCTGGAACTGATAACATCTCTGTCGACAGAAGCCTTCATCCAATCCCTGAGGAGGTTTATTTCAAGAAGAGGCAGGCCATTCATCATCTATTCTGACAATGGCACCAATTTCCTAGGAACGCAGAGAGCACTCATGAACATCGATTGGCAGACAGTGCAAAATATGACAACTGCTCAAAAGATACGTTGGAGATTTAACCCCCCTTCCGCCGCACGGTGGGGTGGATGGTGGGAGAGACTAGTTAGAATGGTTAAACAAGTCTTAAGAAAAGTTCTGGGTCATGCTGCCCTGAACTATGAAGAACTTAATACAATANGAACTAGTAAGAACTTACCTTTACGAAAATTTAAGGTATATTTAAGGTTGATCTAAGGTATTTCTGAGGTATTAAGGTTGATTTGAGGTATATTTGAGGTTGCACAGAAAACAGCAATAAAAATTATACCTCGTAAAGGTTGTAATTAAGGTGTACGAAGTTGTTTTATATGCACTTCAGCTTGTTTTGAGGTTGTTTAAAATTCACTTCAAATCAACCAGATTGATAAGGTGATTTTTGAGGTATACTAAGTTGATTTTCTTACACTTGTAACAACAGAGGTACTTTTGAGGTACAAAAATTTTTACCTTGTTTCAACTAAAGAAAGTGAGGTATTTATTGAGGTATATGGAGTCATTTTTTTTACACCTATGCTTATTTTGAGGTTGTTTTAAATCCACTTCAAATCAACTAGACTGATGAGGTGATTTTTAAGGTATGCGAGGTTGTTTTTCTTACACTTGTATCAAAAGAGGTATTTATGAGGTATAAAAAATCAACCTTATTTCAACTAACGAGAGTAAGGTATTTACGAGGTATAAAAAAATATATCTTTTTTCAATTAAAGAGAGTGAGGTATTTATCGAGGTATATGAAGTCATTTTATTTATACCTAAGCTTATTTTGCCGTAGTTTTAAAATCACTTCATACCAACCA